AATTTAATAAGCTTATTTTCTTGTAAAATTCAATTTAAGAAATATTTATAATCATTGATTATCTCTTAAGAAATAAAAAAGTTATTCACAACAAAATGTTAATTTTGATGGCTCTGATTCTCTTGTGCCCAGAGGATCTCTAGAGAGATCCCCTGAACATTTTACTCATGACAGCATAAAAAGGAATCATTAGATCTTTATGAATTGAATAAAATAATATCTATAGTATATAATCTAGATAAAAGACAGTCAGAAATTCTTTATGCAATTGTTGCAACTTTCTATACATTTGAAATTGTCTAAATTTACCAAAATTAAATCCTCAAGCATAAAATAACCAATAACTTAAGAAATGAAAGTATTAGCTCAGTGAAATTTGAATACTGGTTTTGAAGAAGTCTTTCTAAGGTGGACACATAATAACCTTCTAGGAGGCCTGGTGGCGTAGTGGGATTACATGCAGCTTGCTGACTACAAGGTTATATACATTCTGATTCAATTCATCCATTACAATCTCCTCAATGGACCATGACTTATCCCACTCCTCCTTTTGTTTCCTGTTTCTACTTCTCCTTCTTTCCTAACCTTCTGTTCTTGAGTAAATACTGCCTTTTTTATCCAAGATGATGGATTATCCTAACATGGACTAAGTTCAGTTCCAGACATGAATGGTATGGGACAATTCTGGAGAGGTCCTTCAATCTCCATCAGACCAGTAAGTCTGGTCCCTTCATGATTTTGCATTTTGTTCCACATTTTTCTCCCATTCTATCCAGGACCTTCTAAAGCAGCAGTTCTCAACCTGGGGGTTGTGACCCCATTAGGGGGGGGGGTGTCAAACGACCCTTTCACAGGGGTCACCTAAGACCATTTTTCCAATGGTCTTAGGAACTGAGACACCACTCTTCTATCTGTCTCTAGGCAAGTCCGCCCACATGCAGATACGCCCACATATGGGGTCACCACAAGAGGAACTGTATTAAAGGGTCGTGGCATTAGGAAGGTTGAGAACCACTTATTCTAAAATGATCCTCTTCAGAGTGGTCGGTAGTGGTACCCAGGTACCATCTAGTTCTGGTCTGAAGGTTGTGGAGACTGATTTTCATATGGTCTTTGGGCCAATTACTTCCATGTGTCTTTTGATTTTCATCATTCTCTTTCAGAGAAGCCAATTGTTGCACCTTATTTGGGTGCTCATGAGCTTTTAAGGCCCCAGTCACTGCTCATCAGAGTAGGATGTAGAATACTTTTTGAGAACTGTGTTATGCCAATTGACCTTATTGTCCCCAAGACTATTGTTTGGATTCCCTAGGCCCAGCAACTTGTTCCCTCAAGGTATTTTGTTCTGTCTAAAAAGTGTTCATAACTTTGCCCCCTGTATGTTCCACCACATTCATGGATATATTTGCAGCAAAGATAAATATACAACATATATAAATAACCTATAAATACTTGTGGGTCTCCTCACACTTTTCCTCTCCCACCTGTTCTGTCTATATGTCTAGCCAGGCATTTACTCACAGATCACCACTACTGCTGGGTTGCATACATATGCATACACATACATATACATATACACATACACACACATATATATCCGCAGCATTTGCCTTTACTTCTTGCAAACCTCCTCATATTTTCCCCTCCTGCCTTCCTTTTTCCCTAATATCCCTCTTATTGTCCATTGCCTCCCCTTTCACTCAAGTTAACAATTGTCTACCCACTAGCCCGTGACTTATTGAGGAACTCTTTAGTTCAGCTAAATGGGAATTTTTATTCATACAGTAATAACACATAAAATTTTTAAGGGCACAGTCATGTGTAAAATTCGTATGAATTCATCTATGGACCAGGAACTAAGCAGAAGCACAATGAAGGAATCAGAGGGGCCCAAACCAAGGGCACCTGCACTCTGCATTCAAAAGCAGACAGACCTGACAGCACACTCAATTCCTGTGGAGTAGTAGAGACCCAAGTATCACACACAGGCCTCTACCAGGCCCACCTCTTTAAGGGGACCCCAGAACGGCTTTGACTGCCGCCTGGGTTGTGGCATATATAAAACTGCATGCCTGGAGCATAGAGGAAGCAGACAGCCATGCAGCCAGAACTTAGTGGCCCACGTGGTCTTGGGTTCAGTGACAGTCTCTGTGGTAGGCCCCCAGTATCATCAGGAAAGGAGCCTTAAGTCATCCAGTGTAAAACCTGGTTCTGGACTAGGGTCCATCCCCAGGAGAGAAAGAGTAGAACCTTCCCATGTGCAATACGTTTGCACACTATAATCCCAAAATATGTGAGAACTGCTGCTGCGAACGACTGCCAATAAACCCAGTAATCAAAACATACACTTACTCCAGGGGAAATCAAACAAATTGCACTATTTTAAATTGACTTTGAATTTAGCCTCTTTATGAGGGAGATAAGGATGGAATGGAGGCTATTTAAAAGGAACAGCCTCAACTCCCACTCACCTCCTCAAAAACTGAGAAACAGCAGAAATGAAATGACCATGTCAATTACCTAGTGTCTCTATCAGTAAGGCAGTTATGTGTGACCACCATGCTGGTCACCTGCCGCCTTAATCAAACATTTTAAATTATTCTTATTTCCAATTAAGTGTGGATGCTATTGGTACGACTTCTCCAAATACAATTATAAATCTTTTTAGCTACTTCAATATTGTATGCCCTTGCTTTAGCAGTTGTTTCATACATTTCTTATGGTGTAGAGTGAGAGATTCAGCCAGATTTTTGAGGGCACAAATTAAGATGTTATATATTTTAAAGCCACCCTAGGGGTACACTCTCACTCATTATTTCCTGTACAGCCCAGACCTAGATGCCAAAATTTCCCCCTTAGGGTAGGAAGCACCCTTTGGGATTAATTCTTTGCTGGATAACTTTACAAATTGAGGCTGGAATGATATCATTTCAGACTTCATTTGCTGGAAATGTGGCCTACCCCATTTACCTGTAACAGTTCATTTGCTTTATTTTTCATTTTCCTTTGCTCAAGACAGCAGCACTGCCATGAACTGCTAGGACAGGTTAACACTTTCATTGCTTTTTGAAAACATCTCTTCTACTCTCATCTTTCCCCAGCCATTCTTCTCGTAGTTGTCAAAGAAGCACAGTCTAAGCTAGTTTTCCATGGAAGAGGAGTATCAAATTTATGTTTTTATATAACATTATTAACAGAAAGAACCTAATTTTATCTAAATGTAGCAGAAACGCAAACCAAACCCAGGACTTAGTTTCAACCTTCTAGGACAGGATTTAACTGCTCCCTGGGGTTTCTGAAGAAGCCCTGGTAATGTCATGGTTATGCTGTGGACTACTAACTGCAAGGTCAGCAATTCAGTCCCACCCTCTGGCAAAAGGTGAGGAGCTCTCCCTCTTAAAGAGTTAGTCTCAGAAACTCACAGGGACTGTAAGTTCTGCCCTACCCTACAGGACCATGGCACTGAGTTGGGTTTAGGAGGGTCTCGGAGGCAGTAGACCTTTCGGAGCAGACCTGCCTTCTCTCATGAATTGACTGGTGAGTTTCCATTGCCATCCTTTCAGTTAGCTGCCCATCGCTTAGCCCACTGCACCACCAAAACCTAAACTCACTGCCATCGAGTCAGTTCCAACTCATAGTGACCCCATAGGACAAGGTAGAACTGCCCCCGTGGGTTTCTGAGGCTGAAACTCGTTAAGGGAGTAAAAAGGCTCGTCTTTCTCCCGAGAAGTGCCTATTGGTTTCAGATCACTGACCTTGCGGTTAGCAATGTCATGTGTTATCCATTGCTCATGAGGGCTCCTCCAGGCCCTGCTAAATGTAGCCTACTCTCTATTGAAGACAGGTGAGACCCTCCTCAAGTTGAGAAAAGGGAACTACAATAGGTGACTCCCAAAATGTTGCTCTGTTCCCTGTTAGAGAGTCAGGATCTGTTTAGATTTTTCCCTTTTAAATGGCAAATAAATGAAAGCTGGCTTGTGAAATGCCAATGCTTACGATCTCCAGTTTAATATCTGCTTCTCCACAGAGATTGAGATATGTTCCACCAGTGATTGCCCTGTCAGGGATGTAGGAGTCTACTGGAACCTGAGGTCTGCCTTTGGTAGGGACATCTCTGGTTAGCTGCCGATCCTCCCGGGGAATGTCCATTTTAAAATTTCTCTAAGCTCCTTTCCTTCCTTGGCAGAAGAACCCAAAGGCTATGGAGTGTGTGTTTGCCTTTTCTCGGGCCCTGCTTAAACTCTGACTCATTTGAGCCTTGGGACTTTGCTTCATATTCTCGTTGTTGTTGTTGTTGTTGTGTTATCACGTTGGCTCCAACCCATAGTGACCCTATGCACAACCAAAGGAAAACACTGCTTGTAATTATTCTTTCTTCCCTCACAGATTCTCTTTAGGGGCACCTTCTAGCCATGTTCTTTGGGATGGATCCTTCTTGTTTCCATACGCCATTCTGTGGTGGAACTGTTTGCATCCTTTGGCACCAGAAATTCGTCTTGTGGTTAATGTAGGGGTTTGGAGCAGGTAATATTTACTCTGCCCTCAAACTGGACAATCCAGTAATGTCCCTTCTTAAAGCAGCTGGCATAGGTCAGAGAGAGTAAAGAAAGAACAATTTGGAGGAAATGTAAATCTGAAGGCAGTAGTACAAGGGGCTTTAAAACGCTCATGGAAAATGGAAAAGAAAGAGAAGGAATTTTTCCATGAAGCTTTCACAGCTTTCCTTCTCCCTGTATTGTCCAAAAAAGACACATCCAGTAAAGACTAGAAAATTCCCTCTCACTAAAGTGCTCCAGTGACTGGTGAACCAGTCTCAGTGTGTGTGTGCGTAGGAGGTGGGGAAGAGATGTGTGAAGAGACCTGCTCACACGGACTTTGTCTAATGGATGGTTCCGTGGTACATTGAGGGGAAAGCACTCCTCCCCTTTTTCTTTTCCTTCTGATTCCAACCTTCTGGAACGATTGAGCTAATGGCGATTTCTTGATTTCTCTCATTGCAGTTTTAACAGTGTGTGTCAAGGAACTCATATCCTCTTTCGGGAATTCAGCTTTGTCCAAGCCACCCCCCACAACAGGGCGTCCTTCTTACGGGCCTTCTGGAGGTGCTTCCGGACCGTGGGCAAAAATGGAGGTAAGTCTCCCCAAACTTTGTGAGTCTGCCGTCTTCTTCCTTTAAGTACTGGTGGGGTGCAGGCGGTCCAGGGCTCTGGGAAGACCTCCCTTTTGAGGCACTCCCATCCATGTTCTGTTAGAGCTACTACCTCCCGATTCCTACTGCCACCAGCATCACCACTATTATTGCCAAGAGCCGCTGCTTGAGGTATACTCCCTCCCTCCTCGCCGCCGCAGCTTTCTGTGCAGAGTGTAGTCTCCATCTTATGACTTATGAAACTGAGCATCAGCAAGGCTACGGGAGCTGGTAAGGTCTCACAGTAAGTCAGTCAGCTAGCTTCACACTCGGGCAGTGTAGCTCCAGAGCCCTGGCTCTCGGCAAATTAGACAATACCATGAGGTCAATACCAGACACGGTGAAAACCCAAAGAAGGAAGCTCCTTCTTCAGAAGAAGAATGGGGCTCTGGTGTTGGAAAGGGGGAGAGAAGTGCATTAGAAAAGGTCTTCCTCAAATCCAGCTGTTTAATCTAAGGCAGTGGTTCTCGACCTGTGGGTCACGACCCCTTTGGGGGTTGAATGATCCTTTCACAGGGGTCGCCCGATTCATCACAGTAGCAAAATTAGAGTGATGAAGTAGTGTATTAGTCTAGGTACTTTGGAGAAACAAATCCACAGCAACTCATGTATAAGAGAGAGTTTTATGCAAAGAAAACGTGCATCACGAAAACATCCCAACCCAATGCTGCCCAAGCCCACAAGTCCAACATTAACCCATACCCAACACCAGTCCACAAAGTCCTCCACCTCACAAAACAGAGGCAATAATGCCGACTGCAGGAGGAAAGCTGAGTCAGTGAACGTGTAAGCATCTCAGCACTGGCAGGGGTCTCCACATGGCTGCTCCAGCACCCAGGGCTGCATCGGGATAGATCCATGCGGCTTCTCCTTGGGGATGTCTTGTAGGAAATCCATCTTGCAAGCTGAAGCAGGGAACTGCTAAGGCAGCTGCACCCGATGCAACCATCACAAAGCAAGAGATCCGAGAACTAGAAAGGTGAGGCTTCACCACCCATTTATCCCTCCGCCTTTCAACCAGCCCCACATGTGATTATCGGCCAGGCTGGCACAATTAACTAACTCAAATAGCAACGGAAATAATGTTATGGTTGGGGAGTCACCACCACATGAGGAACTGTATGAAAGGGTGGCGGCATAAGGAAGGTTGAGAACCACTGATGTAAGGTGAGAAGTAACAACAGGCATTGTCCATGTGGATAAAGGAGAGAAGGTCTTTCTTGGTGGTGAGATTACTGTGTGCTATGCCCCGTCGAAGCATAAAAGACCCTAGAATAGTTAGGATACAGTAGCCCAGAATAACTAGTGCATAGGTGCTCCAACTTTTTTTGGCCTCTTTTCAGAAAAGAAGTTATCAGCATCCCTTTGTCAATGAAAAACATTTGTGCTCTAGCCCATAATCAAGGATAACAAGTAGGCACCTGCTTTTGCAGCCCCCCTGGATTGCACCCACCAGGGGGTGGCATCGTCCACTTTGGGAGACACACCGGGATAGAGCATGGAGTTTATAAAGCACTTTAGGAGAACTGAGCCTATAAAGGAGCAAAAACGCAAGTCATGAAAGACCACTTTTTGTCATAATAAAGAAGAGGGATTTTATTCTGTAGGTGTTGCTCAAAGGATCTGAGAAAGGAGAATCATGTCATGGTCTGAGTTCTAGGAGCTCACTCTAAACTAAAGGCAGCGTTGAAGAAGATGGCTTTGACCTTAGAGGGCCAGACAAGAAGCAGGTAACAGAGTTTAAAGACTCTAGGCAATAGTTAAGGTGAGTGATAAAGGAGCCAAAACTCGGGCCTTACCAGTGGAGACAGGAGAGGCACTTCCAGAGACCAAATCTACAGGATTCAGTGATTGGATTTGGCATGTGACAGGAAAAGAGATTTATTAGGAGAAATGATATGTGTTGAGTGTTTGAAAAGTTGAAGTTTCTTGTTCTGAATGTTAAAGCTTCATTAAGCACTAGAAATAGAGGTCTGATTTGGGGGGTGGGGGATTTGGGGAAGTGAAATAGTTTACTAAGATTTTCAAAGCACCATAAAATCCTTAAGAAAAGAGCCATGTTTTACTTTTGGACAATGCAAGTCACTCATGTATGTGTAGAGTGTTGGTCTGTCACCTTAGAAATAGATTCCAAGGAAAATATTAAGACAAACCCTGTGTGGAAAGAGTACTGTTACACAGAGAAGATTACAACTGATACTATGAAATAAATTGGGTATAACTTGTTGAATGGGAAACAAATTTGCTCTGCAAACTTTCACCCAAGCCACAATGAAATACAAAAAAAATTTTAAAGCTCTGACTAAACATGGCTTTATTGAGACCTCATCTTGGTGACTCCTATTGGGAGGTCCTTGTAGAAAATGGCTCTAGAGCAGCAGTTCTCAACCTGTAGGTTGCAACCCCATTGGGGATTGAATGACCCTTTCACAGGGGTTGCCCGATTCATAACAGTAGCAAAATTGCAGTAATGAAGTAGCAACGAAAATAATCCTTCCATTCTGAATATCAAAATAGATAAAATTGCTCCAAAATTTTCAGATTTAGAATCCCTACATCAAACCCTTCTTCCATTTATGTTTTCATGGGCTTGTGCTTATTCCTGTCATCTTACCATGTCCTTGCAGTAAGTATTGGGACTGTCTATAGTGACTCTACTTTAAAGGAGAGGACAGCCTAAATGGTTTGTTCCTTCATCAGCAAATATTTCTGTTAAGTTTACCATGTGCCTGCTTTCTTTAAATGTGCAAGACTGTCCACTATGTTCTAATCAATGCTATAGTTTATACGTTGCTAGTGAATTTTTCCCCCTAAAAATCATTCTGTCTCATGCCTCATGGAGTCATTTCAGCTATCCTATGAAATAGATAGGGAAGGTTTTCTTGCCCCCATCTTATACAAAGAGCAAGTGTGTGACTAGCTCAAGCAATGGTTGTACAGTGAGTTGCAGTAGAACCCAGATTTACCAGGACAATATTCAATATGCTGTTTCTTTTATTTCTACCTCAGTCACTGCTTCTGTGACAGAGATCATTGCATTACACAGTGTGCAAAAAGTTCTTAGTGTACCAAGAATAGCTTCATTTCCTTAACAGAATATATCCACTAAGAGGTGACAACTAATGGGGACTCGATTTTAAATGAACTCAGAAAAACTCTTATCATCGGTCTCTAAGTAAACAAAACTGGGAGCTGTGGGTGTGCGTGGAAAGGCTGTACTAGTTTATCAAATTCTGCTGGCCCCAGGTTTAATCAGTCATTAAATATTTAGTGAGCGTCCTCTATACAGGTTAAAGATGAGTGCATACAATTAGAGACCGACTCTGGTTTCTTTGCCACCGCATGTGACGACAGCTATGGAAAACCGGCATTCAGCTCTCCCTAATTCTTCTGATTTAGAAGGGAAGCCTCTTCAAGAATATATTTACTATCACAAGGGATCCATGTAGCATTTGGACTCTAAGCAGATGTGGGTTTCTTTATCTCGGAATAGCAGCTGCCAGTGATTCATCCATCTGTGGAAGGAATGCAGCCCCAGACACCCCCTCCCCTCAGCTTTCTCCCTGTGCCATAAGCAAGACCTAGATTTTATGTCTGATATTTATGGTTATGTTTCTTAACCACACAGCCTCTGGTTTCTTAAGCCCACAGGCAATATTCATATCTAGGTGAGCTTAAATCTCTGGTCACAGACTTTTAATATATTCTCAGTTCCTTCCAGGAACCCCATAGCATCTTTCAGTCCCAGAATGTGTCAGTCCCCACCTTTAATTCAGAATGAGTAAAATCTCTCGGAGGCCAGATTCCAAAGGAAAAGATTTATTAAACCCCATTTTTCCAATTAGAGTGCCAAGGACCAGACTCACTCGGTGCAACTGCTACTATTGTTCTCCTGTGGATAACTTCCTTAGAACATCATGTACATCGTTTCCATGATCAAGGGAAAGCCAGCTCTTCTGGGAGGCAGCAAGAGAAGAGCCGAGTGCCAGCATCACAGGCCTGAAAATGAAGCCACCTGTAGAAAACGAAGGGCCCTGGTCCCCTCTGGCAAGAAACATTTTATCCCTGTTTTAACAAGTACAGGGATGTGATGGCATCCCACTTGTCTGGGGACCATATGGTGCTAATTGTCCTGTTTGAATTTCTGATAGCCTCCTGAAGGCTAAAAAAAATGAACTCCTGACTAGTGAGACAACTCTAGACTGCTTCGAATAAACGGGATCTATTTAGTTGTACCGCAATCAGCCTGGAAGGTTCAGCTTCGCACTTGGGTGTTTCTTCCAATGGGAAGAAGAAATAAAAATTAAGCTGAATTTTCTAAGTCTGGCAAAGAGCTGAAATTCCTTTGAAATAAATCTTTACTTCTGTTTAGTAATATTGGTTCATAAGAGCCTTTTGCCCAGAATATATTTTCAATTAAAATTTACTTTGGAGCTTTGTGCTTTTATCAGCTTTACAACTAAATATTTCCTTTAATCAAAAAGTGGTTGGGCTCTTCATCTGCCTGCGAAGAAGTACCTGGCTAAGGGAATTGCCTTCCTTCTATAAACAACTGGAAACTCTGACAAACTCCCAGAAACAACTGTTTTCAAACATTGGACAGCCCTAGAACTGATCTACAAGTAACTTTGCTACGTGTCACTATGTGCTGTTATTAAGTGCCATCAAGTCAGTTTTTAATTGGGGCGACCATATCATGTGTACCATAGAATGAAATACTGCTTGGTCATGTGCCATCCTCACAATTGTTCCTTTGAGCACCGTGTTGCAGCCACTGTGTCAGTCTAATGTGTTCAGGGTCTCCCTCTTTTTTTCTAACCCTCTATTTTACCAAGCATGATGTTCTTCTCCAGAGACTGGTCTCTTTTGATAGCATGTCCAAAGTTCGTGAGATGAAATCTGAATATCTTTACTTCTTTTTTTTTTTTTCTTGATAAAAACTA